CATCACAGCCAGCAAGCGCTCCTCCACTTCCCTACAGCTTTAGGAAGACAACCGCAAGATGCGTACAAGTTGAGCGAGGTGGAGCATCTTAAGAGAAATATTTAACAGAATTACATGTAAGACCAAAAAAAAAATACTTTGAAAGAGCAATTTTTAATGGTTTAAAAGTTAATATGAAAAGCTTTTTCAAGCCCATCAGAAAGAAGGACCGTGATAGAGGGTTGGGAGGACCTGCAAACAACCAAGACTCAACAGAAGAATTCAAGGAAAAAAATGGGTAATAGAAGAAATGCTCAACAGATTATTTTCATCTGCCTTGCCACGGGACAGATGATATTTTACAAGGGATTAGTCAGAAAAATTGGCTCCAACTGAAGTGTCAATGTAAAAGCTTTAAAATAAATCAATAAAAAGGAAAATAAAGAAGAGCCAAATGAAGTTTCGAAGAGCTCTCAAGGAACTCAAACACAAAACTGTCTAACTCCTAATTGCAGAGTAAAACCAACTGCTTCGATCAACCTCGTGCTGCACTAAAGAAGGTAGAAAATATTAAAAACCAATACAGAAAACGAAGTTTTGTGAATTCAAGATTTTAAATCTGACTTCTCTACCAGGAAAGATAACAGAGGAATACGCTCCTGCATAAATACACCACATTGCACAACCAACACTGCTTTTCTGGAGGAAAGCATGTCTTGCAAATCTAAATTCTTTCAAAAACACAACGAGCGCGTCAACGCAGGAGATCCAGTAAATATAACGGCTTTGTACTCTCAGCTTTTAACAAAGCCACCTCCCGAGGGCTCTTAACGAAACTAAACTGTCTTCAGAACCGGGAAGCGAGGATATTCTTGCAGATTAAGAACTGAGGAAGAGAGGGACTACAAGAGAAGGAATTAAATTAGCTTTATAAGGGTATTACCAGTATTACCCCAGTTGTGCAGATCTGTACTATTCGACATACTCATACATGGCCTGGAAAAAGACGTGGCATATGCCGAGGCTGTGACGTTTGGCAAGATCCTGATTCGGGACAACAAAATACACTGTTACGTGTAGAGAGCAGCTCTTGTAACACGAACTTGCTGGGCAATAAATGCCATACATACATAAAACACACCAGGCAACAAACACGGGGGGAAAAAAGCCTTATGCCATAAATACAGACAAGAGGGCTCTCAGTTACCGAACAACCAGTCCAGAAAGAGGAGAAAACGTAACTAGCTGACAAGCTGAGGCGATGGTTAAACAGCAGAACCAGCCCCCAAGAAAACCCCAACCACGAGCAACGACTGGGCAAAGAGCAGAGAGAACCCAGTCCCTCTATGGATTCACGACACACATATTTTGGATATGGAGCAAAGACCTGGTAAGTCCATCAAGGAAGAGCATCACGGTCTACAGAACAGAAGAAGCAAAGAGAAGTCAGAAAAAGCAGAGGGTGGTTCCTTTAGAAGACAAACTCAATAAATGTGGATTCTCCAGCTCGGAAAAGGGACTGCTACAGCAGGGTATGATGCAGGCTACAAAAACCCTAACAAAAGGGCAGAAAGGCTTTCATCTGGGGCTTATGGGAACATGAGAAGGAGGGAGGACCACATCAGGTCTTGAGGGAGAAGAGTCAAAACGAAAGAGAAGGAGCACCGTTTCACAAACGTGTAACATCACCGGGCCAGGCTGAGCCTTCAGGAAAGGCTGGGTCACTTCACGGAGAAGAATGAACTCAAGCCTCCTAAATGCTCAGCGCTGCATCCAGCACTGGAACGACTGGGAAAATACCATGTATGTCTATATTCCTCCCAACGAAATCCTCAGAGCCTTTGCTGGGTGCTGGAGACAGGGCTGTTGCATAGATGAGCGTTTGGTCTGACCAAGGACTGAAGTTCTCAAGTTTTTATGGAAAACACTGAACGCGTTAATGCAAGGAACACTACAAAACTCCTGCAAATGTGGAAGGGCACCGTTTATCCCGGGCCTTTCTGCACTGCGCTTTAATTGAACGAATAGCCAAATCCAGACTTCAAGAAAGGTTTCAATTAACCGATCAATGATGGACCAGGGTTTGAGGCAAGAGCAAAGGAATACCCAAGGAAACCTCCAAGAAAAGAAATTTAAAACCAGGTAAGTGAAGTCCATCTCCACAGAGCAGGAGGTGAGCGAGCAGCCAGGGGAAGCCATGCAAGCAGACAGCTTCAGCAGCTTCAAAGGCGATCAGATGATTGCACGGACAACAGGTTCAGAAATAGATGTTTGAAGAACCAGGCAGGGATGTCCCCTCCGACCTCACTAACACACCAGTCCCGGCTGCTGGGGCGGTCCGAAGGGCGGGAGCTGCAGAAATGGCCAAGGTCACATTTTGTTGCTCAGTTCTAAGCTAGCTGGACCACCCGTCTGAAGCAGTAAGGCGTTTCTTATCTACTTACGCTAGTCTTTATTTCCTCAAACTGGTCTAGCGGTACTTATTATTAGAGAACACAACTACGCACACGTCAGCCCAAACATTGGCTTCCCCCCTGAGAAAGGCAGGTGTCCGCTCCCACGAAGCACCAGCACATTTTGGCGTGATGCAGAAGACAAAGATAACTCGGGACCGGGATTGTAGGACAGGTCTTGAAAACGTCCCGCCAAAGCCGTCGTGAGCGATTCCCCCACTCACCAGACTATTAATGTACTGAGGCCATCGTGAAAGACCGCAACCGTCTGATGGATTGATTCTAACTCTGTTGAAGAGCGTGTTTATTGTTAGAGTTAATCTCCTATAACTTTCTCAGCGTGTTTCTGCGCAGAACGATCCTGGACTGGGAGGCAAAGGGACAGAATGATGAAGTACAGCCTTTTCACATCCTTCTGGTGGGATTCCGATTGTAAATCTTAGATTATCGAATAAACTTGCAGGAATCGGTATCTCAGCGAGTGTAATTATATCACACGAGGCATCTAGTGTAACCGATAGGCTGCAGCCTTCTATTAGAGAATTCCAGCCAGACTTTTTATAGTTTAAATTCTAGTACAAACTCACGCTCTTCTGATGGAATAGGGCTTTCTCAAAGAGCAGACTGGAAATTCTGTTTCTATGTTAAGAAGAGTGGAAAAACTTGCGCCATCTCGGTATTCACAGCTGATGATCTTCCCAAATTATGAGGAAGTGACATCGCTGGATAAAAGGCATATTCTTCTTACACTGCGCGACAGTTCACCACCCTCCTGTAACTGGAAGCTTAACATTCTTGTAAAATATACAGTGCGGTATTATGTGACTGCGCTGGTAATAAAATTACTGCGAAACCAGTGCCTCAAGGGGAAATGCACATAATGTTTCTCCTGGAAAAGCTGCATGTCACAGTGCATAATGTCATACAAACAACACGTCATTAGAAGGGAAAGCAGCGAGCGGGATTAATACGCGCATCAGACGGATGCGATAGACTCGCAGAGCGTATGCTGAAGGCGCTCTGTCTCTATAGCTTGCTTAAACATCGCGCCGCTTCAGACCTCTGAAAATAAAAAGCCAACGCTTAGCATCAAATTAACCACTGCCAACGCCATCCTACGGTCCCTTGGAAGGATTTTCTCCCTGCTGCCTTTCAGAGCTGCACGACCACCAGGGAGCGCAGCTCATTTGCCCGAGCCCGGCTCGCGGTGCCCTGTGTCCCCACGCAGGGACGGCATGGCGCGGCGACGCCAACGCGCTGCCCATCATCCCGCCCGAGCACCGGGACGGAGCCGCGTTGGCTCCCGGCAGCGCTAGCTCAGACGGCTTCCTCGGGAAAACCGGGGAGGAGACAGTGCGTGCCCAGACTTCAGGGGAGGTTCCCCGGTGGCGGAGGAGAACAGGACTCACATCGAGATCCAAGAAATACTTCCCCAGCCCTCGGTGCAGACACAGCTCAGCGGCACTACTGGTTGAATATTTACAGCTGCTAAAAAAAAAATCCGCATCTTTGTATCGTCGCTCTTCTGATTCACACACACTGTGTGTTTTTGGAGGTGAATCCAGATGACAACGTGGACGCATTTTTCACATGGGAAATTTGGGGGCACTTTTCTGGGCGGCTGTCAGAGGCAGCGGGGCAGGAGACCGCGTTTGTGCTCCTGCCTCCGTACAGCCCTCCGCAAGGTTTTGTGTCCCTGAGGGTGAGCTGTAAGGCCGCTGCATGACTGGTGCAACGATGGCTGAATTCAATTTGACTCTAGCAGACTTCTTCCGAGGGAGAAAGAGAGAGTGATTTCCCTACGTCACGGGCGCAGAAGCAGCCATCCATTGTAAAGGAAGAACTCTCAATGGGACGGCAGGATTGAGCACAGCAATGCTATCCTGAAATGGGATATGTTTTTCTCAGACAGTGACAAATTAAGAAGAGACCGTATTTAGTTTCTTCTTTGTTCAGGGATCTTGAAAAATATGATGCCCATGTGTTAATGTTTGAACCCACCCTCCATTCTTACTGCATTAGTCCTGCTCGCAGTCATTCAACACAGAATCATGTGTGTAATCCGAAACATGTGTCCAGCGATGTGTTCCCTATTTACCAATTATTTAATTAGCTTTATTTGCTCTTTGAGATACAGGCAAAGCAATATTTTTTTATTTCCTGTATTTAAGTATGAACCAGTATTTGCCAAATAGTTAAGTATAGAGAGGTATGCTCTTAATTTACCGAGTCCCTCTCCGCAACGTCAGAGGTGGCTCTCTGCCTTGCAGGGACACGCTGCCATCGCCGCTCCCCCCACCCCACGTGGAAACCCAGCCAAGAACGGAAGGGGACGAATGTCGCGATACACAAGTATCACCTCACGTGGCACCGCTGGTGATTAAATCACTAAAGACAATCAAATCAGACTTCAAAACCGGTGGGATCGGGCACTTAGCTCCGCAATGGCTTCCACACAAACTCTGAAGCAAAGGGCTCTGCTGTAATTGTCCTTAACTCACAAAAAGAAGCAGCAGTAGCAAAATGCGTGAGCGAAGGAGGTGAAGGTCAACTATGATCTATTTATTTCCATGAAATTCTCGCTATCTCTCTGCACCTACTGAACTGAGGAGCTGGTCCTTCCAGACATACCATCCAAAACCCCTCCCCCGTGATTTCAGCTCTTTGATTTCAGGTCTTTGGTGCGGGCACAGGGCGCAGAGGGGAGCCAGGAGGGAAAGGGAGAGCCTCGGGCGACCTCAACTCACCCATGATACTGTCCGTCCCGTTGGCAGGGGGTGTGCAAGAAGACGCGCTGTAATGATTTGTGCCACTGCGGTGGAAGGTGGACATCGGAGGAAGACTGGAATTGATGTCTGCTGAGGAGTGTGATGGGTAGCTCTGTGGCAAAAAGGATAAAACAAAAGAAAGATTTTAATTATTGTGACCACGGAAGGCAGCAGGCAGCTTGTACTGCCCCAGTCAACAAGTGCTGTCGTACTTCACCCAACCGAGAGAAGTGGCATACTGCCCTAAGACTAAGGATGGAGCACCTTTTTCTAGCCAAATTTGACATCTTCTGGAGGAGACAGAGCACACACCTATCCGATAGGGATAAATATCCACAGGGGAAGGTTCGTAACTGATGATGGTACCATAGAGGTGTAACGAGAAGGAATTAAGAAAGAAAAGTGAGGTGATGCATCAAGCAAACCTTTTTGATGGGGACAGCCGTTGGCTGGAGGCGAAACCTTCCAAGGGAAGTGGTAGAAACCCCACACTGCTTTCAACATTAAAACCAACATCTGACTACAAGCCGCGTGTGGCTGGTAGTACAAAACGGGCCGTAAGGAAACACCCCAGCGCCCCGGGTAATCAACTGGATCAATTTGCCCTCCCATCGCGGCACCTGTGCGACAGACAATCGAAAAGGCGATGGATCGAGTTCTCCGAAGAGGCGTGGGACGAGCGTCTGGGCAGCACACCCCAGACTTTGGGAGCTATAGGGCCGGATCAACACAAACCTTCCTCGCTGTGCCACAACATCGCTGTGGTCAAATGTTTTGCTGAAGTTGCATTACTATAAACCTGGCTTCCATTAGCGCTGTTTGTCACTGTTGAATAGGTTTTTTTCTTAGTTGGTGTGAGACACTGCGTGCAGACAGGTCCTAGAACATGCCCGGCTTTTATCTCTATCACAGCATCGCCCCCAGCAACGGTCCCGCAGAAGACCTCTGGGTTTTGGAGATGCTGATACAAAGCCTCCTCAGAAACACGGGCAGCTGGCGACACGTGGCAGGCACTGGTCATCGAGGCGTGGGAGTGTTAGAGCAAGAGCATCCATGTGCCCTCGGCCTCCGTAGGTGGTTCAGGGGAAGCTGGCTGAAAACATCCCTTCGTTTGTACCATTTCGTTACTTTTTCAGCATTTCTTGTAATTAAGTGCCACGAAACTGAACACTTGAAAGTTCTCTCAAAGAATGTAAACAACACAGCCCAAACCTATTTTTCTTACCCATGGAAAAACGACCATCAGCTCTGACTGAGGTCTGAATTAACATTTTAAGGCTTTGACTCATTACAAACCACGCCAGGACTTCAGCCCCAAACCCAAGTGGCTGAAACGGCACAGCTCAACAGCGGTTCTCACGGGACGGAACACGGAGCGAACGCGGAGCGCTTAGGCCAGCGGTCTGAACGCAAGCGGCTCCGTCTCCTCTGCTGAACGGCTCTTGCGTGACACGCAGCAAAGTGCTGGTTTGGGATTTTCTCCTTTCGCAGGGGAAGACGTCAAACCACTCGCCCAAATATTTTCGGGAAAACGCGGCATCTGATTATCGCTTAACAGAGAGCTGCTCTCTGTAGTCGGTGCATCTATTTAGAAAATCACCGATACAGCCGAGAAAGTAAAAATAATAACCAACAGCTTTTCTTTCTTTCTTTCGCTACAGGGCACAGAGAAGTAAAGGCCGTTTGCAGGGACCCGAACTGAAATCACTCAAACTTTCCTCGAGAAGCTGACCGCTCCTGGATGCTCCAGCTGAGCACAAGCTGCTGACCTCTCACTGACGCTCCAGCAGAAATTCCGCAGAGAGTCTTTAAAGTACCACTGCCCCTCTTCTGTCCCAGTGTTACCTAAAATACGGAAGGCTCTCCCAGTCCAGACATACACAATAAATCACCAATACGAGCATCGTCAGCACCGACAACTTGGACTGGAATCAGTGGTCCTCCCTCTCTCTGAAATTTAGCGTAAATATACTACTATCTACACAGAAAAACATTTTGGGGGATTTAGGTGGAACATCCCTATATCGCAGAAATATTTTAGCGCTTCACAAGAACCCCTACATGTTACAAAACCAAGAAATGCAGAATCGAGGTAAACGTCAACGCAAAAATGTTTGCAGACGTGCGCCATGAAGACACTGAAGACACGCTGCTGTCTTACCTCTACCCTGAGCTGCCACCACGAAAAGCCACCTAATTCTGATGAATGAGTACCAGCCTAGATAACAAATTAGATTAAATTGGGTTTTAAGAGTTATGCTCAATTTTTATTATATATGCTTGTCACTTCAGAGCAACGTTAAGTTTGCTCAGTGCCTTAATTATGCCTTTTATAAAGACATGATTAAGCAGTTTTTGAGGCAATTTCTTTTGCTTTTGACTTCCTATTAATTTTACATAGCAGTGCGCTAACCTCGTTAAATGTGAGACTTTAAAGATTTGTTTTGCAAATTAATTTTCAGTTTGCAAGAGTGACTTTTAATTCTTCTTATTCCCCGAAAGATGGTTCTGCAAGGTTTTACAGCAATGGACTCCTTCCGCCCTTACTCCTCATTACTTTTCCCTTTTAACGGTCTTCAAGAATGAAAAGCAGAGGTACAGAATAGAAAAACATTACTTGGAATGTTTAACACATTCTGAGAAAAATTACTTCGGCTGTCCGTTCATTTCTTTACCTCGTACTTAAACCAAAAGAAAACCAAAAAACTGAATTGAGATGGAACCCAGTGTTATTTCTACACAATCAATTCAGCCGCGATATTAGGAGAATATCCCCTAAGCTGTACTCAGATAAGATTTAATTCTGATTTTATTCCATTCCAATACAATAGATGGAATCGGTCCCAGCAACTTCCTCCTGCTAGGGATCAGGATGTACCAGAGAAAATAAAAAAAACTGCCTTTTTTAAAGCAGAAAATTGATGCTAGATAGTTACCTATAAACTCAGACCAGCGAAGGACACTGACTGCCATCAATTACATACCCCCAAAAGCAGGGGTGCGTGCGGCTCATCGTCAGGCTGGTGGCCACCGGACGAGCAGAGGGTACCAACGCAGGCTCAACCCTCTTTTTGCAGCCTCGGCTGAAGGAACGGTCTGCGTGACCATTTTTTCCTCCAGTTTTCCCTTCCCAGTTGCACTAGGAGGGGCTGCGATACGTGCAGAGGCGGCGATCATAGAATCACAGAATGGTTTGGGTGGGAAGGGACCTTGAAGATCATCCAGTTCCCCCCTCCTGCCATGGGGACACCTCCCACCAGCCCAGGTTGCTCCAAGCCCCGTCCAACCTGGCCTTGAACACCTCCAGGGATGGGGCAGCCACGGATTCTCTGTGATCCCCAGTGGAAACGGGTTCTGCACCTGGGGGAAGCCGTGCCGGGACCTCACCACCACTCTGCCAAGGGCAGAGGCAACCTCCTCTGCTCCCGGCGCTTCCCAGCCTGGGCTACTCTTCGGCTGAAAACTCTCCTTCTTTCTGAGGACCCTGAAGAAAATCTCTACGGCAATTTTTTGCAGAGCTGGGAGCACACAAGGGTGAGCGGAGAACGTTTCCGCAGCCCAACTGGAAGCCGTGTCAGTGCTGTGAGCGGCTGGGCATGACGTGCCCCCCGCTGCGAGCCGTGTCCCCCACCATGAGCCGCGTCCCCCACCGCGAGGCGTGCCCCTCGTGCCTTACCAAGCGGTCGTGCGGGTGCAGGCTGCAGTAGCTGCTGGACTGGGGGATGTGAGAAGAGTTGCCCAGCATGCCCCCATAGCCGGGCTGGTTCATCCCGCTGGAGGAGCTCCACGGGTCGCTGCTGTGATGGCCATCTGTAACACAGGAGGGAAACACTGCTGGCGTTGTGCAAACTCCGTCCTAACGAGGCTAACGAGGCCGCAGGGCTACGCCGCTTCAGCATAAGACCATGTACGTTAACAAAAACGGAGCTGAACTGAGCAACGGCAAATATTGGTGTCATCCTGCAGTGCTTCACTACAGTCACATCACTTCAGCTTGAAAGTCTCCCGCTGCTTTATTCCTGCTCTGGTATCGTAAACTCAAGTGCGCAAACTCCGTTATAACAAATCTCATCAGAGACAACAGTCTGAGCATTGAAACAAAAGAGACCGAAGCCCACAGAACGAGGACGGGCTAACGAGCTTTGGAGAAGCCTCAGCTTGGTAAAGGATCTGATAATTCCTGAACTTCGAGTGTTTCCACATCCCAAAAGTTTTACGAGTTGTCTCGCTGTTGGTTTTTTCCGTGTTTGTTTAAAAAGAGAGTAGCACCACTTGGATGGTCTCTCCTTTTAGGGATTTCCCAGCTGTGCCTCTGCACCTCCTACGCGCGGCGTTCGCCCTTCGGGCCAGGTCAGTGCCGAGGCACGACACGCACTGAAGGGTACAAAAAGGGCTCCCCAAATTTTATCACGTACAAAAGGTGGTTGCATATTTTGCACTTAACTAGGCACGCTGAAATAGAATTATAATAATGCAGTGGAATGTATTTCCTACTGGAAGGATGCCAGTGTGTTAATAAAAAAAAAAAAAAACCAACCCGAGAAAAAAAAGGTAATTTTCCCATAATGATCAGCAGACCCCAAAGACGGGTATGTGGGCTGGAAAAGCCATTTTTTTCAAACTACAGGAGTTGGTGTAATAAAAAATTATTATGTCTCACCTACAGCCCTGCCTTATTTATACACTTCAAACACAGCGGCACTTCCAGCATCACCTTCCCAGGGCTGTTTGAACAGTCATTTAACTCAGATTTATGTCTTCAATACAAATCTGCGAGAGGATAACACTTAAACCCACAGAACGGCTGAGCACTCCAAAGGGTAAATATTTGATATAATTAGAACCCTATTAGTCCCCAGCTTCATAACTCCATAGGAGTTTCAGAGCAGGTTGCTCTTTGGGCGCGTTAAGCCAAGAGCACCGTTCAGTCATGGTCCACACTTCCCACCGCCGCTCAGGAAATGGTCCAGATGCAGATCCCCCACCCAAAAGGCGATGGAAGGGGTCGCTGCTTGCAACGATGTCCTCTTCCCTCCCATGAGGACCCACCAGAGCCGGTGGAGGACCAGCAAAACCCCTCCTCACAGCGCTCCAGCCCCAGCCCCGGTGCAAGGGGTCCCTTGGTCCTTCCTGCCTGCCACTGCCCAGCCACGAGCACCCTCGGATGAAGAGATGGAGACGTGGCAAAGCGCCGCAGGAGACGGTCACCCTGAGACAGGGAGCTGAGCCATCCCCGGGGATGCTGAGCAGCACCCACGACCTTCAGGCGGTGGGGACACAAAATGGGTTGGTGGTTTGGTGGGTTTTTTCCCCTAAGGGTGGGAATTGGAAAGTGTATATATAAGTATACAGAATAAAACCCAATCCCTTGCCCTGCAAATACTTCAGCCTAGCAGTTCTGCTGAAGCAAAGGGATTTACTTAACCCTTAACTTAGCCTAAAGCAGAGTATATGTAGAAGTGTTTAAAAGCTAATTATTTTGCCCTGAATGCGGCAAAAGACGCGTACCCTAATTCTGCGTGGATCTTTCCAAACTCTAGGAATTTTATTTACTATGTTCTATCAAATTTCTCTGTACTGACACATAAACCATTACGAGCAACATGGTAGCAGCGACTACACGGGAACTATTAACCCATCCTCCAATGAGAGAAACAGCTTCATTCTAAAAAGGTTGCTCCAATTCCATACGCACGCAAACAGACGTCCTCGTAGCACCGTACGCTTTACATAGGACAAAATCTTTCTCGTTAGCGTAAAACAACAATGCCCAAAGGACACGCACAAATTTGTGTGCATTAAGAACACGCATAATACACGTGCACACGCACACGCTGGGGGAAAAACTGCTCCAAGAAGCTCAGCTGATAAGAGGTTGGCAAGTTATTCAGGATGCTGCTGCCCTGCAGGATCACACCACGACGTTCAGAGGCACAATGGTCAACCGAAGACGTCCAGGTCTTCATTTTAATGGTAATGTTACAGACCACAGGATGATATTGCAGCGTGTCTGGACTACACATAAACCAAAATCCAACCGCAGAAAACGTATGCAAAATAGATTTCCTTTTGAAAGCGGCTCCTTACCTTGCATGAAGAAGGAGCTAGGAAAAGTGCTGGCTGCTGGTTTTGAGGATGGATAACCTGGTGAATCCCTATTGTAGTCGGCAGTGCTTGCTGACGGGGCATAAACCTAAGGAAAAAAGACTAATTTAGTATGCCTTTAGCAGGAAGCAGGAAAGAAATATCGAGTTTTTACCTTGCTCAGTATAAATCAGTTCACAACACCGCATAATTCTTCTCTCAGAACACAGAAAATACTTCTCTCAGTATACGTGTGACTGGAAAATAAATTTGAAGCTTCAAAAGAAAACTCCAGCCTGACATTTTCCAGCTTTAAACAAGGGTATTTGCAAGGTATTTGTCAAACTATGTATTTCTGTAAATAAAATGAACAAACAGATGTACATATGTTCTTCCTAGAGCATTACGGAGCTTAAATAAACAGGAACTTGAAACAATGCTGATTTTCTCGTATGAAAGCGTACAGACGTTACCCACTTATGAACAAAACTGAAAGCACTGCAAGGCACTCAAAAACTTTATTTCCCAAACTAAAAAAAAAAAAGAAATTTAGAAAAACAGCATTATCAAGAACACCGAAAATTACAAACATATCTTGGGATATTAAATTCCCATGGATCGAGCTCTTTCCAGAGCAGCTTGAAAGGACTATTAAAAACCTGGATCTACACAAGACCACCAACACAGTGTGTGTACACATCAGGGGAAAAACTCCTCCTTTCTAAGGACTTATTATATTTGTCTGTGCAATAAACTTAGTACGTGTGCCAAAACACTAATTTACTTACATTTGTTTACTAATACACCAGAGCTTTCTGCAACGTGCCTTTTAGAAAACACTGCTTGCGTTCCTTGCTGGAGGTTAGTTCAACCAGGACGGCATTTAAAACCAAAATAAACCCCCCCAAAAATCCCTCCCCCCTGCAAAAAAAAAAAAAACCCAAAAAAACCCACCCAAAAAACCCCCAACCCAACACAGGGTGATAAGGTAATTTATTATTTACAGTGCAGTTTATTCCCTCTGCCTCTATGCTCCCGCTCTGCTCCTCGGCGCTTTGTTTCCGCGCTGGAGGTGCCTCTCTCCAGATGGTCAGGAAGACTGAAGCACTGTCATCTCCTTGATGAAAATGGATACCTTCCTGCCTCCATTTTGAAGCAGGCAGCGGATCACAAAATTGGCAGAGCGCCTGCTCCGACGTTCGCGGGTCACGGCCAAAGGGAAAAGACTGCTAATATTCAGTGGTGGAAGAAAATAATTTGAATGTGACAGTGCAATGGTAGGAACATTTTGATTAAAAATGCAAGAATATTCAATCATTCTATCTAGCAGACCATATGTACATGAAAAGCCTATCTTCATTCTTATCATTCTGGGTGCTCATTTTCAACGGGATGATTGATTGGTGAGATTCCTATTTCTACACCTTTCATCTATCTTCAGTACTTTCATAAATGTTGAATTAAGCAGTTTTTATGAAACTTATCATAAACTGGCCATTCGGATGGGTAAAACCAGAGGCAACGGAGCTCTGCACCCAACCAGCCAAAGCACCCACCGCGCAGCCGCCAGCCGGGCGGGAGCACCGGGCGGGATGCCATCGTTGCCATCGCGCTGGTGCCACCAGAGGGAACCTTGTACTCACGTGTCAGCGTGTAACTGCACGACAGGTACAGAGGGCACGTGTAGGGTCCTGCACCGAGAGAGGAACAACCCCATGCACCAGTACAGGTTGGGGGGTGACCTGCTGGAGAGTAGCTCTGTGCAAAGGGACGTGGGAGTCCTGAGGGACAACAGGATGCCCATGAGCCAGCAATGTGCCCTGGCGGCCAAGAAGGCCAATGGCATCAAGCAGAGTGTGGCCAGCCGGC